AAAGCAATACTGTCACGAAACGATTGTACTTAAACAGACATGCACATATAAATTAGCACCGATCCAGATACGAAGCAGATACGTTGCTTATCTGTTACATTTCTTTATCGAACATCCTTTTCCTCCGACCGGTAGCAGTCAGAATGAAATATTTATCACTCGAATGAAGTTTGGAAAAGGAAAAGTTATCATATGTAAAATAATTAAAAACTGCGTTTATTTACGATTATCTTGTGTAAAATATATTTTATTTAAGTAAAAAATATTTATTGTACATATTTAAAATATGGGCGTAATGTCATTTCCAAGGTGGTTTCATTTTTTGCAGATCCCCTTTTATAGATGATATCTTTTGTGGAACTGGAATAAATTCACTAGTGTCTTGATTAGTCTGAAGGAAAAATAAAGTTGTATCACTGAAACTTTATCATATTTGAAATAGTAAAATAATGAAATACAATTACTTACATCTGATGGAGACTGCCAAACAATACTGTCTTCGTCTCTAACACTTAGTTCCCTTTTTAGGTAATGTTTTCTTGGCACTTCTCGACATACAGGTGGACTCGGGATATTTTCTCTAATTTTTGAAAATTCCTCCCTTGCTTGTTGCATCTCAGCAATCTATAAAATATTTAATTTTGTATTAAATACAAACATATGCGGAAATATTAAATAGAACTTACCATTTTAACATATTTTCGAAGGTCATCTTTTGATTCTTTTCTACTTGTTAGCGGAGTTTCGTCAATTGGTATCATACTACTCAGACTTTCGTTTTGATCATGAAAGTTTTTTGTATTTGATGAATGTAATGTTAACTTCATTGGTTCTTGAGAAAACTTCATGCAGCAATTCGGCATTGATTCGGACTTCTTTGGACCTTTTGATTCAAATAATTTTTCTGCGTGAACTTTTTGAAGAGGTGTCAAATTTTCCATATTCCCACCTACATATAAGTAAGAATTGTCATGTGTGAAATTAATAAAAATACTACGTGAATTGCACAATTAGGAAATGTAATTTAATAATTCTACCTGATATAATTTGTAAGGCTTGCTGCCATTGTTTCTGCATTACCGAATGAAGCTGTTCCGCAAGTTGAGACTTCGTGGCACGTTGAGAAGTAAGTTGTGTTTCTAAAAAGGATGATTTCTGTATAGCTTCTGCTAACCGAAGCTCACACAAACGCTTCTCCTCTTTATGTTTTTCTTCTAATAAATTTATTTCTAGTCGGTGCCTGAATAAGTTTCAATTAATAATCATGTAATTTGTTTTCCTTAATTAAATAACATAAAAATGTATTTGAAGAGAATAAAAACATACTTATCCATAATATCCTTAATTTTTCTGGCTGCACATTCTGCAATAACTTGTTGTCTAGTTTTCAATTCTTCAAGAAATTCTGATTCAGCAGCATCAAGTTGAGTCTGAAATTCTCGCAATTTAACTTTTACTACTTCATCAACTTGTTTTTGGTAAATGTCTTGTAATTCCAATCTAATTTTTTCTTTTTGTTCTGCAAGAAATTTTGTTTCATTCTTGGCTAATTTCTGTAAAAATAGACAAGAATTAATATTCAGAAATGAAAGGAAAAATATTAATCATTATATTACCTCTGCCTTTCTAGCTTCATCAAGTACTGAAAGTAGTGAAGTATTTTTCTGCTCTAAAATTGCATTTCTAGTATTTTCTTCCTTTAGTTTTAGTTGTAAATTTTCTTTTTCTTGCCTAAGTACAATTAATTCAGCTTCACACGTATCTAATGCTTTATGAATAACATCCATTTCATTTCTAACTTCCCCTCCCTTTAATCGTTCTTTACCCAATTCTTGTTGAAGTGTTCTTAATGTTTCATCAGTCTGTTGATTTTTCTCTGTTAGTTTGTTGTATTCTATTTTTAATTTTTCATATCTATTTTCTACTTCTTGAACCAATGATTTGGAATTTTCCAATTCATCAGCGTGATTTTTTAATAATTCTATCTTTTCCTTCATTACTGTATCACTTTTTTCTTTGTAACCAGCTGCAAGATCTAAAGCTTTTGATAATTCACCTTCATAACGTTTGATTTGTAACTGAAATTCCGAAATCTCTAATTGATGTTTCTCTGTTACATTTTTAAGATTTGTCTGTAAACTGCTGTATTCGTTTTCTAAGACTTGAACTCGTTGTTTTAATTTAGACCATGCATTGTGAAATTGTGTTATCAATTCATTTTTCTCATTATCTACTCTAAGTGCCACTGCAACCTTCTCTTGCTGCTCTAACAATCGTTTTTGGAGCTCTTGAATCAGATGCTCACAATGCTGCAAAAAGTTATAACTGGTTACACAAATTTATTATCATTAAAAAAAAAAATATCAATATAAACTTTTACATACCTCTCTTCGAAATTTTTCTTCTTCTAATTTAATTCTATATATTTCTTCTTGTGTTTTGTTGCCATTATTTTCCCAGAAATCTGATAATGATAAAAGTCTTTGGGACTTTCTGGAATAAAAGTAAAAGGTAATGACTGTTGTGATTAAAGCTATATCATTTTATTACTGAATATATATGGTTGTTTATAATAAAACTACCTTGGGAAGGAGTCTGTATTTGTTGATGCATGAACAATACTTTTAACAAGTGGCACATCATGTACTTGTTTTACACATTGCACATTCCCAGTCTGTTGAGAAATTTTATGTGGTTCCAATATATGCAATGCATTATGTTCTATATTTTTTGTTGGTGGTGCAGTATTACATTGTATTAGTCCATTATGTAATAAAGTATTTAACTGTTTATGCATAGGATGTGTTTGTGTATTGTGCAAGCTATTTAAACTTATACTGTTTATATCATCTGTGATTAAAGAAGTTGGTTGTGCAATTGTTTCCTTCTTTTGGGTATCATTTGCTTTTACATCTGATTTCTCAATACTGTTTGAATTTGTTAATGCAGTTGTACTTTCTATTTCTCCAGTCTTTGAAACTAGATTTTGAACACTTTTCTCCCAGGTTTTAAATTCTGAGATCATTCTATCAGTCTCATCCATATGGAATGAATCATTATATGGTAATGATATATCTGCCAAAATACTAGATTTTTTTTTTGATATAATTGGAAGAATATCATGACGTTGATTTGAATCTTCTGGCTCAAATTCTAATTTTCTATTAATAGAATACTTGTGTGTATTGCTATAGTCTTGACTTTTAAGACTACTATTATTCTGAATAGATAACACACCATTCTGTTCCATAAGCAAATGGTGCATTGAAACTCTATTTATTCTTTTTGATAGTTCTAATTCAGTAGCCTCCATTTCTTGTAGCAATTCATCAACTTCTGATAGTTCCATTTCTTGTACACTAGTTTTTGAGTGCAATTGTGGTTGTTCTGTGGTGCTAAGTAAAGTTGAGGTAGATGGCATTGAATGCAATTGATTGAAAGATGGTTTAACACATATATTATTTGTACTTCTACAATAATTGGCTGGATAAGAGTAAAATTCCCCTTCACAAGAAGTAACAGTAACATGCGGGAAACCCACATTGCAAGCAGTAGAAGGTACCACAACAGAGGATTGGGACATTAGATGATCATGCTTATTCTTATGTTCATTAGCATTAGTTGCATTAGTACCCACAGTTGCAGGAAAATCATGCCCCAATTTCATGTCATTCTGATGGCAATTAATATGGTTTAACAACGAATGACTATTAGGGGTTGATGGAACAGATAAGGATTGACTAGGTTTTATAGGTGTATTTTGTAAGCTAGAGCTCTGACTTATAGAGAACCTAGTTTTAGGTAATGTCTGCCTAAACTTGGTAGGTTGGTTATTTTGAATTTGTGACTCCAATGAATTATTTAGAAATGTAGCATCAAAACTAGTATCCTTGAACTCAATAGCAGAAATTCTATTTTCTAATGATTGCATATGCTCCACGATTTCTGATATTACTCCAGTTCTTTTACTACTGTAATCTGCATTTATTCGATCAGAACTAACATCAGAGTCTGAAGATGATTGTACAAGGAACAAGTCAGGTGGAATTAAGAGTAAAACATCTGTATCATCAGAATCACTCATCATCCATTTGATTTTCCTTTCACCATAGCAAATCAAATCCAATTATAGTATGCTCCCAATAAATATATATTTACACAGTATTTACACAGTATTTTATACATCCCTCCAAAAATGTAAGCAGTGTAAACAAAATTTTGAATGCAGTACCTTGTTCATTTAGTACTACTGGAAAGATATAAATCTCACGAATGTAAACTATCTCTAAATAGTTTTAAACTGTTTTCACTCATTTTATTCTTTAGACGAATGAAATGTAATACACAATTTTACTAATCCGTAAACTAACCAAATAAACGTTCGAAAGGAAATTCTTACCATAACTGACAATCAGATAAAAATGTTTCGATATCACCAGTAGATGGCAGCACAATAAACTTAGGATGTCCTTCGTCCTTTACAAGGTTTTGTATAATTTTAAATCATGAATATAATTTGTTTTATTGTGTTAATCAAACTTTTTGCTTAGTGCATGTTCAAAAGAATTAAGAATGATAAATAACTTAAACAATTGAGATAATACTTCCTGAAATCAATATGAAATAAATTAATACTTACAATTTAATGTTTCATTATTTTATCCATCTAACTTTATCTCATTTGATGGTTCTGATAGTTTCACTATGAAAAAGACATTTTACATTTATATTCTTATGAAAATGAATGAAAAAGCAATTCATGAATGAATAAAACGAATCAATGGAAAAAATATGTGAAGAAAAATTTAATTTAATTTAAAGTAAAGTTAAATTAAATATCATAATGAGAATAAGAATATAATTTTTTCAATTAATTTTTTAATCAATTTTATTTTATGTAAAAAAGAGGTGTTGTGTTTCAGTTATTTCAATTCTAATCAAGAATAGTAGATCAGCGAAATTAAATTCAACCTGTTTTTGTTTAGTATACATATAAGTTGTGGATGATATTAAAAGATTTAACAGGTATCTGAAGGGCTTTATTTTATTTCAATTTAAAAAATTAAAGATCATCTTGAAATCTCAAAAAATACAAGTAATAAGAAACTATCGAATGGCCTGTACCATGTATTACCATGGTACATGTATTACCATGCAGTAACCATGCAACATGTATTACCACAGACGCGTACAGGATAGACGAAACATCTTATGGGACTTTGTGTCCACGGAAGCGGGGCCGAGAAGGCCCTTACCATTTTCGTGTCGCTCCCAACGTTACCGATTTAACGTAGAATAAGGTTACAAAAGTTTGCAGTGTTTTGGGATAAATGTAACAAATAAATTACAAATAAGAAAGTAACGTAATTGTTTATCAGTAGATGATTCATCACATGCGCGTGTCTATTGCTGTCACAAAACCGTGAACAGTTCTATCGACGCAATCCAATATATTTAGTCGTGATTACTACGAAGGATAACTCGTCCATGTTACCTGTATTTAGCAATACAGAAATGAGAAATACAAGGAAAAGAATAGGCGAAGACAAGGATAGCAATAGAGCAATTAGTTAGATAAGAATAGATATAGGTTTAGACAAGTACCGATAATTTTTTAGAGTAAAGTCAATGCCATCTCGTGTTTGGCTTCACGAACTAACGACTCATTACTAGAAACATAGGATGTGAACAGGGAGTATTAGACAAGGAACGCAATACTGTGCGAGAAGGATAGAGAAAAAATGGCTGACGGGCCGCTTAGCATTGCCATGCAGGCCCTAAGTCAAGTCGGCCAGAGAAAAATCATTAATAACTCATTATTTACGAAAAATTTGTGAACTTTTAGAATCGAAAAATGAAGTATGAACTTCTAGTAACTTTCCCAAATAGGTTTTCAGGCTCTAGGACCTTCGAATAATTAGTTATTAATATTTGTTGTGCAAATTGTCGGCAACCATACGACAGTCATTTACGGTTTCTCATTAATATCATTGTTTAGTATCACTTCCCTGTACAATTTTTAGATGCATCTGGAAGGGATCATCAGTGGTTACATTCTTTTACAATTTTCAGTAACATATACGTTGTAGTTCGATAGTTATTAAACATTATTCGGGAGAACGCTACACTCGTCGAATTCAGGCGTGACACTCTTCTGTCAATTTAATGAAATTGCGCGATTATGTGTATACTTTTAAGATTGTAGAATATAGTACAGATTTTCCTTTACATTCTGCGATAATTTTGGTATGCGTATGTCATGTAGTTTATTAAATATTAGCAATTGTTTATAATAGTTCAGCTCACCCGGATACGCTGAGCGGTGCACTCTCCCATATAATGTTTAATAACTGGTAAACTACAGTCACAATGTTAATAAAAATTACACGAGAAACTAGCTAAAGGAATAGGCTTTCCAACGAATATATTAAAGTGCATAAATTATACGAGTAACGGTACGAAAGTAATGAAAAACCGTCAGGGACTGCCGCGACATGTCGTATCGTTCCTGACACTACGCATGAAAATTGTTAATAACTAATTATTGAAAGGATATAGAGACTTAAAACCTATTTGAGAAAGTTGCTAGAGGTTTATACTTTATTCTTCAATACTAAAAGTTCACAAAATTATCGTAAATAATGAATTATTAATGATTTTTCACCGACCGACTTGACTTGGGGCCTGTGACGTGAACCATGGCGGCCCGTGGACCAATAGGAAACGTTTTCTCTCTGTCCTTCTCGCACAGTAGTGCGTTCCTTGTCTAATACCGTATCGTTCCTGACACTACGCATGAAAATTGTTAATAACTAATTATTGAAAGGATATAGAGACTTAAAACCTATTTGAGAAAGTTGCTAGAGGTTTATACTTTATTCTTCAATACTAAAAGTTCACAAAATTATCGTAAATAATTAATTATTAATGATTTTTCACCGACCGACTTGACTTGGGGCCTGTGACGTGAACCATGGCGGCCCGCGGACCAATAGGAAACGTTTTCTCTCTGTCCTTCTCGCACAGTAGTGCGTTCCTTGTCTAATACCTCTGTTCACATTCTGTGTTCCGAGTAACGAGTCGTTAGTACGCGGAGCCAAACACGAGATGGCGTTAATTTTACTTTTTAAATTTTTTGTCCTTGTCTATCCCTATTCCTTTCCTTGTTTAACTCGTTTCTTTAGTGCTACCATTATCTACCACTATTCCCCTCCTTGTCGCACTCTTTTCTCTAGTGCTATCCTTGTTAAATGCTATTCAGTTCCTTGTCTCTCTTTGCTATTGCTATCCTCGTCATCCCTAGTATGTTTAACTGATACTTATAATCAAATTTAATTGTTTTAACATCACTAATAACATACACAGTATAATAACGTTTCTGGTTCATTTTCATGTACTTTAATTACAGAATAATTAGTATTTCCTGTCAAAATACAATTTGCACGATTGTTTATAATGATTGGAAGTATTAATAAATTCGCTGCATGCTTTAACTTAATAAAACAGCTGAATATACTGCCTATTTCATTGAATTAATCAATGTATTCGCTAGATTAGTCAGATATTGTTTATAACTTTTATTAACAATTGGAAAAATTAATGTTCTTTTTGTGTGAATTGCAGATGGAATCCTCAGGCTACCGCAGGAGTCGAGAAAAGGGCTTCAACATCAGGAGAAACGAAGAAATGCAATTATTTAACGAAAAATCGATTATTTATTGTAAAATTATTGTTAAAATGTATTTTACAAAAGGTTACAATATACCAGAATTGTTTTACAGCATTTTACAGTCTATTTACTTCCTCCATACGCACCAAATCCCTTTCCTTTTGCAAAAAACCCATTGTTTAAACAATATTCCATTGCAAAATTGAATAAATCAATGCCAGAAACCATCAGGAATGCGTTTCTATCGAAGAAATCGAAAAAATCCCGAAATTCTAGCTAAAACTACGGAAATTAGGCGAATATTTCGAAAATCGCGCGAATACACTCGTTCGGTGCTGAAGTCCTCGAGAATTCCTGGAATTTACGTCATTTCTCAGAAATGACCAAATTTCCAAGAATCGAGGCGATTCCAAGAATTGACCAATGGGCCTTCGAAACTTTCGGTCCTCGAGAATTCCTGGAATTTTCGTCATTTCTCGGAAATGACCAAATTTCCGAGAATCGAGGTGATTCCAAGAATTGACCAGTGGGTCTTCGAAAATTTCAGTCCTCGAGAATTCCTGGAATTTTCGTCGTTTCTCGGAAATGACAAAATTTCCGAGAATCGAGGCGATTCCAAGAATTGACCA